CTTCAAGGAGATAAAACCAGTCTATCCTAAAGGAAACCAACCCTGAATATTCATTGGAAGGACTCATGCTGAAGCTGTAGCGCCAATACTTTGGCCTCCTGATGTGAAGAGCTGATTTACTGGAAAAGACCCTGATGCTGGGGAAGATTGAGGGCAGGAGGAGAAGGGGGTAACAAAGGATGAGATGGTTGGATGGTATCACTGACTCAATAGACATGAGTTTGAGCAAACTCTGGGAGACAGTGAAGGAAGGGAAATCTGGCGTGCTGCAGTTCATGGGATCACAAAGAGTTGGACATGACCCAGTGACTGAACAACAACAATAATCATTCTGGAGAGACTACTCACATATTTTTAAAGATTCTAAGAGGGTGTGTTGTGGATAATGGTGATGGGAAGGCTGAATGAGAGTGTAGTGATAGAATAGAATCATGTATCATGAAGGAAGAATTCTGAGCTGTGGAAGACAACAGCACAGACCCCAGTACTAACAAATGGATGGGCCAGAGGACTTGAAATGTTTTGCTAAAGTTCTGTGTTGGGTAAATTTTGAATACCCAATTTCCCCAAAGCACACTGTGAGAGGGGACTAATGTCTTGAGAGCCTACAAGATTTAGGTACTTCACATATTTAATCTTCACAACAGCCCCAACTGGTAGATATTGTTATCCCCACTTTACAGATGAGGAAATCAAGGCTGAGAGAGGTTAAGTAACAACCATATCATACCACAGGTAAATGGCTCTGCTATCCAACCAGTAATGATAATCACTATAGACCACCTTATGATGAAAATTTCACATATGACAATGTGGTTTCCCATACATTTCATCACATTCTCACACCATCTTAGGCAAAAATCAGGCAGCACAGTGGTAAAGAGTCTGCGACCCAATACAGGAAATACAGGAGACTCAGGTTCAATCCCTGGGTTTGGAAGATACTCTGGTGTAGGAAATGACTAACCACTCCAGTACTCTTGCCTGGAAGTTCCCATGAACAGAGGAGCCTGGGGGGCACTGTCCACGGGGTCTCAAAGAGTCGGACACAACTGAGTACGTGAGTGCTTAGCAGATTAGAAATTAGATTAGAAATATGTGTAAATGGGGGGGCTTTCCTGGTAGTCCAGTGGTTAAGACTCTGTGCTTCCAATGCAAGGCACGCAGGTTGGATACCAGGTCTGGAAACTAAGATTCCACATGCCAAGTGGCCAAAAAAAAAAAAAGAGAGAGAGAGAGAGAGAGAAAGGGGATACACATAAATGAATGTAAACAGCTGGGCAGGACAGACCTCTGAATCCAGAGCCTCCAGACATCCAAGGACTCTTACCAAGGCAGGGTAAATCAGCACACTGGGTTCTGGGCTTGTTCAAAAGTCCCTGTCTGGGTGGTACCAGAGGAGTTCTCTTCATCTCCCATATCCTTCTCCCCACCCCCAACTCCTGAGCATATTTCACGCATCCTTCATTTGCAAGTAAATTGACCTTAACTTGAAATCCAGCATTAATACTCAAAAAACTGCTAGCTGGGCTCTGGGAAACACTGGTAAGGAGTCATCTTACTGTTTCTTTTATACTACTTGTATTACCCATTCAAAAAATTCTTTGACAAAAAAAATTTTGCTTTAAACAAAACCCCTCTGGCAGGAAGGAGTGGTATAATGTATGCCTCGGACAGGATTTAGCCACAGAACAACAACAACTACAGGTTAACTGAGACTTCTGGGGATTATAGCGGGGAGGGGGTTGTGATAGTAACATGCCCCCTCCCAATAGCAGAAGTAATCAACAGCTTCTTATTCAGCCAGTCTGTGGCAGGTAGGGCTTCCTATTGCCAACAGGGAGCTTTCCCAAATCCTACCTCTCTAGGCCTCTGGTCCCATGCCCCAGGACCGAAGAATGGGCTCTGAACCTACCAGCCAAGTGGAGACCCTGGAAAATGTGTAATGGAAATAATGACACACAGCAGCCTTCAAGTTGACCCTACAGTTCCCAAACCACAGAGCCCCAGGGTGACTCTCAAGTTCTCAAACTGGGTTTTGATCCTTTCCTGCCTGAGCCCCATGTGAATAAAAAGTGACGTGGTTCTCACAGCACCCGGCTCTCCTGCTCCCTGCCAGAGGCTGGAAACCAGACCCATTTCCCCATCATTTCCCGGTTAGAAACTTGAGGATTTTTTTTTTTTCTCCTTCCCGCTGGTATTCTTTTTAGTTTCCTTCCCTCTGGTAACATTTTTATATTAGCCACAGTGGCAAGCCTTCCTTCACGCATTCACTCTGTATACAATTGCCAAGCACCTACTATGTGTTGGGCTGGGCTCTAGGAGCTGTGATATAGCTTCCCTACCTCCAGAGAGCTCTTATTCTAGCAGTTGCCCTGATTCACTCAGACCCTGGTCAATGCCTGGACCGCTGGCTTAGGTTTCTGGCCTCAGCTCAGCTATAACTGGATTAAAGGATGTCACTAGCTGGCAAGGTGATAGAGGAGAGGAAGGAGTCCTGAGCAAGAGACAGAGTACTGACTACGTTTCTATTTTTTAAACTAGCTGCAGGTAAAACAGCTTAGCTTCCTTGGGTTTCATTTCCATCTTTAAAAGGTTGCTCTAGGGAATTCCCTGGAGGGCCAGTGGTTAGAATTCAGAGCTTTCACTGCTGAGGATGCAGGTTCAATCCCTATTCGGGGAACTGAGATCTTAAAAGCAGCATGGCAAAAAAACAAAAACCAAACAAAAAACTGGTTGCTCTACCTGGATAGAGACAAGCTGCATGCTTGAGAGTAAGATAACAAATATAGGAAGTGTTTGGTTCTCAATCTCCATGAAGAACAGGTAATGCTAAAAGATGGAGAGGCTTCCCGGGCATGTCCATCCATGAATTTATAGAAAAAGAATACCTAATAAACATTTGAGTATATATACATATATATATATGTATATATATATATAATTTACATATATAATACATAATACATATTTGTTTATATATATATATATACTTACATAACCAAATGTCTTAAAAGGTTATTAATTGGTCTTAGCATACCATAGAAAAGTAAACTACCCTTATTGAAAGAGAACAGCTCAAATGTGGCAACTAAACTCACCTGAGTATCTTGTATTCAGCATTCAGATCAAGAAGAGAACAAGATCAGCCCCTCTCCCTCTGGTAACTATCCTTTCCCTAGGATAACCACTATCCTTACTTCCAACAGTACAAATTAGTTTTGCCTGTTTTTGAACTTCATATAAATGGAAAGTTTTGGGAAATTCATCTATCTTAAAGCTGCCTGTAGAGATTGTTCATTCTCATTGCTGTGTATTGTATGAATGTAACATTTTGTCTATCCTTGCTGTGGTTGATGGACATTTTGGGTAGTTTCCAGTTTCTTGGCTGTTACAAATAGTGCTGCCATGAATATTCTAGAACAAGTACTTTGTACATATTTCTGTGGAATTTCAGTAGAACTACAGATTCATAGTGCATTCCTAGGTTCAGCTTTAGCAGACATTCATTGCCAAATAGTTTTCCAAAGTGATTTGTACCAGTTTATACTTGTACTAGCAATTGTTGAGAGTTTTAATATTGTAGTCAGTTTTACAACGATGTTGTCTCCTGTGTTGTCTGTACTTTATTCCTATTTTCACATATTTACAGGGTCTTCACACTTGTCATTTTAATTTTTAAATATTTTATTTATTTATTTATTTATTTAGCTGCACCGGGTCTCAGTTGCAGCATGCGGGATCTTTACTTGCAACATGCAGGATAATTTTAGTTGTGGCATGCAAATTCTTAGTGGCGACATGTGGGATCTAGTTCCCTGAGCCGCGATGGAACCTGGGTTCCCTGAACTGGGAGCACAGTCTTAGCCACTGGACCACCAGGGAAGTCCCCACTCTTGTAATTTTAAATACATTTGTAGAGAAGTAACAGAGACAGTGGGGAGGGCATGTGGCTCTCAAGACAAGGCAAGTATAGGGGGAAGATAATTTAAATACCGAGGCCAAGCAGCTAATGAAAATGATTCAAGCTGCTGAGTGGAGAGGAGCTTGAGCCTGGTGGACAGACCCTACTCAGAAGTAACTGCCAGGAGAAAACAGGCTCAAAGTGAGTAAAACTTTTGACTTTTTAGAGAGAAGCCAGAAAGACAGATTTTTAAAATTTGGCAACTAATTGACAATTTTGGAAAACGTTCTACAGGCCAAACAAAACATCTGTCAGTGGGCCAGATGTTCAGCCCTCAAGTTTGTTTTCAACCTCTCGACTGGCCATAAGGGCTTGGCTTTCCGTCGGCGGGGGGGTGGGGTGGGGGTAAGTGTTTTATCTATACCAAGTCATCTCACTGCTTAAGAGTTTAATTTCCTCTGTGATCAAAAGGGTAAAATAAAAACCCATTCTTCTGTATGGAGATGGTCAATAAGATAATTTAGGAGCACTTTACAAAGTAATGTACTCCCCCATCTCCTGAGTTCGACTTCCATTGTTATGCAGGTACCTCTCCACTTAAAGCAGTTGAGGAGTTTTCATAATCTTACGGTGCAGTTCAAGGTTCGAGTTACCTATTCATACAAGTTTTTAGAAAGTCCTTTGAAAATGGGATCCTGCTGGGATGCAGAGGGTTAAGAGGAAATGGCCTATTAGGGTCTTGCTAATTCGAGAAGTCCAGGACCTCAAAAGTATCTAGAACAGTAAGAGCCAAGCCTCGAAAGAATGAACGACCATTAACCCGACGAAGGCCAGTAGGATCTTCGAGTAACTGCAGAGCAGAACCTAGAACCGGGAATTAGCGTCCGGTGTTACATCCCCTGGCCTTGGCCGAGGGCAGCACAGAAGACAACTCCGGGGCTCATTTGGACCAACCCAGGATACCCAGGTAAGGCGTGTCTTCAGGGCGCCGTTTAGATGCCCGCTCGAAGTGAGGCGCGGCCGGCCGGGAGCCGGCCCGAGAAGCAAGCTGGAGGAATGACCTGCCCCGGAGGCGAAGTCTGCGCCCACCCGGGGTCTAGATTTCTAGATGGTGGGTCGCTCCTACACGTGCCGCGTCCGGGACCGCTGGGGAGCGCGCAGACCCGACGCGGAAAGTTGAACACTCGCGCGGCCGCCCGCGCGCTCTGGGCGCCCCCTCCCATCCCAGCACCGCTCGCCTCTCGCCCCCCCGCTCCCAGGCCGCGGCGGGACGCCCCCGCCCCCATCGCGGCGCGCAGTGCGCAGGCGCCTCCCCGTGGCTCCGGGCGGCGGGAGCGGGAGGCGGCGGCGGGAGCGGCTTCGGCCTCGGCCGGAGACTGAGGCGAAGGCGGCGGCGAAAGAGGTGGAGGAGGAGAGACGACGGTGGCGGCGAAGGCGATGGCGACGCGGGGCACATGAGGCGGCGGCCGGCGGGACGGGCCGAGGCCCGGCGGAGGAGGCGGCTCCGGGGGACCCCGCCGGCCGGTGAGGGGCGGCCGTAGGGCCGGCTGAGAGGCAGCGGGCCAGGGGCGGGGCCCGAGGGGAGGCGGGAGAACTTGTGAGGAGGCTGGAGAGGGGTCTGGGGCCCAGCGGAGAGTGCGGCGGGGGGCGAGGGGAGGGAGAGGACGCCACCCAGGGCTTCCCGCCGAGCCCTGAGGGGGCGTCGCGACCGGCTGTCCGCCGCTGCCCCCGGCGCGCCCTCCCCCTTTGTCCCCAGGCGCGCGGTTCCCAAATTGGGAGGGAAAACGGCTCGGGGGTGGGCCCGGGCCGCGGCGGTCGCGCCGGGTGGGCGGGGAGCCCGGAGGACCTGGGCGCGCACTTCAGCGGTGCTCGCAACTCCTCGGGCGGTTAGGGGCGCAGGGCCGAGCCGGGGCGCTTCGCTGGCTGGTCTTTGTCTCCGGATGCTCGGCCCTTGACATCTCTCCGGGCGGCGTGCCGTTCGTCTGGCTCTTTCCTCGAACATCCCTGCCGGGACTCCTGTCTCCGTAAATGTTTGAGAGATGTAGTTCGCGGGCTTGGAAGTGAGGGGACCGGGGAATATGGTAATCGCCTCTCGGTTAACACGTTTTTGTTTTGTTTTGTTTTTTTAAACTTAAAATGATTTTTCCCCCCCGCTTGATGAAACTTTGAACGACCTGTATGTTGTGTTTGTTTTTTTTCCCCGCTTTCTGTCTCCAGATTCAAAATTACGGGAAGGCGCTAACGCTGTGATTGTGGCCAGTTGTGTGGTTGGAGGCTGCTGTTGGAGCTTTGAGTTGAAAAGATTTACGTGATTGTGTGGTTTAGAATTGTTTGTTCTTTTTTTCTTTTTTCTTTTTGGCGACTGTTTCTAAGATTGGGATTACTTTTTCTTTGGGAAATGGGCGGATTTGATTTACCATTTGAAGGAAGTTTTGTTCATTGAGAACCTGCAGTAGTACAGATTTCATTGTGCTCGCGCTTTACTTTGTTAGCATCAAGACTACTTTGTGGGATCGAATAAATCAAGTTACAATAAGTTCTGGATAAGCGTTATCTTGTATGCCTGATTAGTCTAAAAATTATCATACGTTCGTGTTGTATACACGTTCCAGTGAATATATGTGAAAGTGTTGTAGAAATCAAACTGTATATGTGAAAAGGATTTTAATTCCCTTATCAACGGAGTACATTAACATCTGTAGGAAAAAAAGACGATGTAATTTAGGAATCAAATCCTGTACCCCCAAAGAGGGCTTTAGGTATCACTCAGAATAAGAACGCAGAAAAAGAAAACTTAACTCTTGAGCTCCTGACTAAAAGTATGTGAATTGTGATTATGTTTGCTTCATTTGTGTGTGTTAATTTTTTGGATTTTGCCATAGTTTTGTGTATTGCATTGCTTTGGATTCCCTAAGTGCCGTGTAATGGCAGAATTAAAAAAACGTGAACTAAGTCTTCTGGGTAAAAGGTAAAAAGTTCTGGTAAACAAGTCTGTGTCTTAGTTTTCACCAGATCATTGTGAGCTGAGTGTTGTAGGAAAAGGACATTTTGAAGAGAATATATGGTAGTTATATGAAATTCTTCTTTTATTATTTGTCCTGATTTGTAAAGAATGGTTTGATACTATTTACTAATAAACTGTTGTATCCTTTTCCCAAGCATTTCAAACATCCTTTCCAAATGTCAGTGTTCTTAACTTTAGGTTGTGTGACTTTTGGTTTTCTTTTTTTATTTATTTAGCTGCACTAGATCTTCCTTGCAGTATGTGGGATCTAGTTCCCTGAGCAGGTATCTAACCCAGGCCCCCCTTGTTGGGAGCTCAGAGTCTTAGCCACTGGACCACCAGGGAAGTCCCTTAAATTGGTTTTCTACTTGTGCTAGCAGCCACAACGCTCTTAAAAAGGAGCGAAGGACTAACTTTCTATTCAGTCCATGAAGGTAGAATTGAGTTTCAGCCTTTAATTGAAAAGGTTTAAGAAGTTAACATATTTTTAGCATAATAATCTTATTTATAAATGCTGCTGTCCCTTACTAATTTTTATTATTTCATATCTGTATAAATTAGCCAAGTGAAAGGATTCTGGGTAGGTCTCTGATTAGCTACTCCTTTCCTCACCGCCACCTTCAGGATTCACCTATCAGTTCATTAATTGGGATCTTAGACTACAAAATAGATAATTAAAATTCAGAGCATCTTTTTCTCAATAAATACCTAGTTCCATGATTTTATTCAGTGCAAAGTGATGAGTTCCAAAAAAGTTGAAACTTTTTTTTTTTAAGTTCACATTTCAAAGTAAATGAAGTGTTTTCTTTTGTATTTTGTTTTTTTCAATATTAATTAGTTGAGTGCAGGTGGAAGTATCGTTACTTATTTCTGAACTTGTGCTTTTTTTGTGGCATAGAAGTATGTGTGGCTCCTATCCAAAATACCTAGCAAAAATTTAGGCAAAGATAGGATGGAGTTACTTTTTTTTTTTCTTTTGGGGACCATTTCTTTGAGAGTACATGTAAGATAGGTTTTAGCCGATACCATTAACCTCAAACTTAGACATAGAAAACAGTTTTGAGCTGTTAATATCAGCAAAGTGTCAGCAGTTGTTGTTCAAGCATATTACTGCAGCTGATGAATTTAGTTTATGTGGAAGTAAGGACCTATTTGGTTAAGTCTGAGCACTGCTATTTTCTACAGCCGTCAGGAATGAATGACCAGTCATCCTGGCTGGCATATGGTAGAGAACACTTGGGTTTATCATTCAGGTCAATAAAGTGATGCCCAGTGAGGTTTTTTTTTCCCCCTAAAGACAAGGATGAGATCTTTATTTCTGTAGAATGAGTAGAACTCTTAGTTAAAGCCTGTTCTGTAAGGCTGTATTGCTGTGACACTAGCAGAATTTGGACAAAACTGTTCTGGTGCCCATTTATTTAGTGAAGTTCTCTTCAGTTGTGTACCTATGGTAAGCACTGAACTAGATGCCGAAGATTCAAAGATGAATGTTGTGTGGATTTTGCTCTCAAAATGCTTAGAGTTTAACATACTAAAAAGGTTTAGCAATCTGGAAATTATGTAAAATCTTTGAAACAAAAAAATGTATAGGATTTCAGAGGTTTTGTTTTTTCTCTATAGAGATGGAATCAACTTCACATCCTATTTTCATCTAAATTTTAGTTAAGTCTCAAATAGTCATAAATATTTTCAGCTACATCTTTGAGGGATTTATCGGGTTTGATGGAATTTATTGTTACTTAACCAAGTTACAACATTCTTTTTGGGAATGTTCAGAGTGAAGTGGGTCTGGACTCTCTTGTATATTTTTAGGGAATTCCCCTGTACTCATTCTTGGACCTTAGATTCCTAATTGCCCATCTAGAGTAGGTATTTATTTGGATTTGAAAATTTTCTTCCTGAAATAGTTTCTTCTCTTAGTTTTTTAATTTTCCTTCCCTGCTGTCTGTCTATTCCTTCAGGTTTCCTCCACCCCCACCCAGATCTTTAATTGATGGTCTCTTTCAAGCAAGTCTTGGTCCTTAGTCTGCCTCCCTTCTCTAATCTTAACCATTCTATGCCTTCAGTTACCACATACATTTTTTTTAATAGTTATTTATTTTTATTTATTTGGCTGTGCCAAGTCTTAGTTGTGGCACGCAGAATCTTTTAGCTGCGGCATGGGAAACTCTTAATTATAGCATGTGGGATCTAGTTCCCTGATCAGGGATCAAACCTGGGCCCCCTGCATGGGGAGTGTGGAATCTTAGCCACTGGACCACCAGGGAAGTCCCACCATATATTCTTAATACAACCAATTTTTTATCTATAGTTCAGACCCCTTTTCTGATCCCAGCTGTTTGCTCAGTCAGCATCTCCACTTAGATACTCAGGTAGTTTGAATTGAGTTGCCCAGAGTGAACTTTTGATCTTGTTTCCAAACCTACACCTTCTTCACTGTACCCTGTTTCATTAAGTGGCTCTGTCAACAACTTACTGAAGCCAGATTCTTGCAGTTTTCTTTCCACCTCTAATTTCCCCATCCTAGCCTTGGCCATCTTTTCCTAAGATAATTATTATAGTCAATTTTAAATGGTCTTTCCTTGTTTTTTCACTCCTGTTTAAAAAAGTAAAAAATACAGTATTACCAGTATAGTTGAAGTCTTCTGTTTCCTTACCTGATTGCACCTCCTCTCCCCTGACAACCACTGTTGTAGGCCTCCTAACCAGAGGTAATCACCAACCTGAATTTATTATTCTCTTGTGTTTCTTCATACTTTTACTATGTATGTATATACTCCTAAGCAGTATACTCTCATCTACTCCTCTCACATCAGCTAAAATTGTCTTTAAAAAGCAAATATAATCGAGTCACTTATCTGAAAACTTCTGTTGTTCTCCCTTTAAAACCTTCAGTCTTCATTTTTAACAGGGTATGATCCAGCCTTGCTACTTCTCCAGCATCATTTATTTTTACTTGCTTGCTTGTAGTATATGGTCTAGCTATACAGATCTTTTCCCCCGCATTCACTGAAGGTTCAGAGCTCACCCAACAGCCTTTCTACATGCTGTAGCTAATCTCTCTGCCTGGAAGGCAGCTCTTCATTCTTCGAACTTGCTTAAATATCACTTCTGCAGAAAAACTTTCACTGTGTGCTGTGCTGTGCTTAGTCGCTCAGTGATGTCCGACTCTGCGACCCCATGGACTGTAGCCCTCCAGGCTCCTCTGTCCATGGGGATTCTCCAGACAAGAATACTGGAGTGGATTGCCATGCCCTCCTCCAGGCGATCTTTCCAACCCAGGGATCGAACCCAGGTCTCCCACACCATACACTCAGTATCCCCCCGCAAGTAGCATACTCTACACACTGTTCAATATCCTGCATTTTTCACTCATTTATCTTAGTTTGTTTCTTATTATTACCGATATAGCTGATTTTTTTTTTTCATTACTAGATGTGCTGTAATTTGTTTATGGAGTCTCTTACTGATAGCTTTTACATTGTTTCCAGCCCGTTACCAACAGTAGTGCAGTGAATATTCTTGTGCAATATTTTGTATATCCGAATATTTCATTAGATAAATGTTGAGCACTGGAATTGCTTGCTGGATCAGAAAGTATGTGCATTTTCAATTTTGATGGATATTCCACTTTGTCTTTTATAGAAGCTTACCGTTTACCTCACTTCTCGTAAAGCACAAAGAATGCCTATTTATGGGCTTCTCTGGTGACTCAGTCGGTAAAGAATCTGTGTACAATTCAGGACACCTGGGTTCGATCCCTGGGTTGGGAAGATCCCCTGGAGGAGGGCATGGCAACCCATTGCAGTATTCTTGCCTGCAGAATCCCCACGGACAGAGGAACCTGGCGGGCTACAGTCCATGGGGTGACAGAGTCAGACATGACTGAGCCACTAAGCATGCATACACCTTATCAGTGATCTGTTATCAATTTAAAATTTTTTTCCAATTGGACAATTGAAAAGTAGTATATTGGTACAGTTTTAATTGTAAATCCT